CAAAAATAAATCTACTATCACGTCTGTCAGTGTAACGATAGCCTCCACCACTCACCTACATTAAACATCCTGCTGTGACCCGGGAGATTGCAGTGAAAAACGGGAGGGTTAGCAAGTCTGGTATGAATGTTTTCAGGAGAGGAGAAGTGATGAAGGCTGTTTTTATTATTATTTAAGTCATGTAATTAACTTGACAAATGAACAACTCACAAGACTGTGGTCAGCTGATGTTTTGTTCTGTGGTGCTGCAGTGTTTTGAACAGAGGAGCTGCAGCGCGCCCTCTGGTGGGCAAACTATGCAACACTCATGACATGAGGGAAAGATCTGACTGTTTCTTTTTTAATAATCACATATCGGCTGTTATGAATGCTGATGCAGATATATTTGAAAGTAGCTTATATCAGCCGATAATATCTGCAAAACGATAAATCGGTCGGGCTCCAATACATTCTGCTATGGATTCGGGGAAACTGGGAGGGACAATTTTCTCACATTTTATGCACTAAGCGATGTCAGATTAGTCGATAATGAAAACAATCATTAGTTGCAGCCCTGGTTTGGCGTGCTATTATTTTGCCAGTCACACCTACAGGAAGTAGACACAATGTTGGGAACACCTGATAACATGATCACCAAGACTATGGGTCACCCTTTGCTGTGAAAGCAGCTAAAATCTTCCTTCTCTTTCTGTCACATCAATCTTGAGCTGGTGAGATGTTGGGTTGCTGCTCTTCAGGAAGAACAGAAAGGCCTCTAGTATCCTGAGGAATGAGGGAGGTAGAAGTCTACTTTGCACTTCAGTGCATCTTTGCGGTTTTTGGAATTCTGTGAAAACTTAGAAACACTTAGAAAATGTTGATAATCAAGTAATAAGCAATTTGCGGTAATTACTGTATGCCTTGGACTGGTATATTAAGTTCCAGTCATTTAATACGTTGGAAAGTTTAAAGTAGAATTTAAAGTAGAATATGCGTGACATAAATTGTGCTGCAGGTACTTGGTAAGAATGTAGAAAAAAACTGAATATGGCATGAACATTGCTGGGAAAAAAAGAAAAAATAAAGTTGTTTTTCACAGCTTGTAGGGAAAAAAATCCATCAGGTGCCTGCAGATTCGAGCTTATTACCTGAGTCAGAAAACAAATCTATTTTCACATCAGTTGTTTGGTTTGTTCATATTCACATGAGAATCAGTAGCCAGGTGGTGACTGTGGCGGTGACTGACTCAACTGTGCAGAAAAGTGGAGAGTGAGAAATGGGGAAGATGAAAGGAAATATTGTGGCAGTAATGGAAATCCCAGGGGAACGACGCTAAGCAGACACAAATCAAAATGGACACTGCGACTGCACATGACAACAGCAGACACTTGTGCTATTACCTCAAAGCTCCTGTATCTTCTCTTAACTGTAAAACCTACCTAAAAATACACCGAACAACAGATCATTAAATTAAAAGCCTCCTCTCAAATCCGTCACTGTGACTGCGGTAAACCTCCTTCCACAAATCAAATTTTACACTTAAATGTACAGTTAAGAGCCACACGGGGGAGAAGTTGGCGTTCAAGTGCAACATGCTCAGATTTGATTTTAAGTTGGCATACACTAAGCATCCACAGTGAGTCTGATTGAACTAATAAGCTCATGCCTGAAACCTTAAATGACACTCTAAAATAGCAGCGGTGTCAAATCTCAAATGGGCGATGCCACACCAAGGCGATGATGACATGAGTATTGTGTATAGGAGGTGAAGAGTATGGTAATGTTGTCAGTGCACCCCCGAGGCCTCAGTGCCATCATACAGAAAAACAAGAACCCCGGCAATACGCTGTCTCGTTACTGGCTGGCACATATTCTGTCAGTCTTCCTAATGCCAGACTGCTGCTGTGATTACTTCCTCTCCACTTCCTGCATCCCTCACAGACTGCTTGACCTTTTGTAATTACGTAAAATTATATTTATTTCACTCTTTCTGGAGGGTATATCTCGCAAACATGAAAACTTGTGATCATGATAGCTCGAGTCTCATGTGATCGCCATAACTTCAGTCTCTCATGAGCATGATTGCTAGTGTGTTGATAGCTAAAGGCAGCTTGTTTTCTTGGAGAGGATGAAGTCTGACGAGTTTGATTCTCAGCCAGGAGGAGTGGATATTTAATATGTAGTCAGATTGCCACTTTTGTTTTTGCTCTTGGATCAATGGTTAAATTGTGTTCCTATGGGTATTATTTGTTTGGACATTTCTGCTACAATAGAAAGCAGAGAATAGCATGAAGGACAGCAAAGAAATGCTACAACAACATAAGCTGGAATTGAAATAACAATAATGTGAACACACGGCTACACTGCAACAGCGGCTAATGAGAAACAATGTGCACCAATCCAACTGATACCAAAGCTCTCTTTTTCCCAAATTTAAAATGGATTACATTATACACTAAGACAGTCTATTGTTCTAGACAGCATTGTTAGAATGCATTTATTGAAAAATACATGATTTGTAAATGCTTTTGAAAGAATACAAATTTAAACAAAAAAGCTAAACAATACAACTGCTCCATTTTATTCATTTTTTACTCCAGTTGCTAATGGTTTGCGACTAATCAGATGTAAGTCATTGTTATGAAACTTTCTCCTTTTTTAAGCTTGTTAAACATGTAATAAAATATAAAATACACACATACATATACAGTCCTTTGAATAAGTTAGCCTAGGGGTTCACATACTTTCTCCACCCTGCACTGTAAAAGTTTATACGGTGTGTTCAATAAAAACATGAAAACATATAATTGTTTGTGTGAGGTTAGTTTAAGCAGCTTGTGTTTGTCTATTGATGTGATTCATTTTACGACCAATTTATGCAGAAATCCTGGTAATTCCAAAGGGTTCACATACTTTTTCCTTCAACTGTATAGGGGCCAGTACATTATGAATATGGCCTATATCATAAAACTACATTGGTAGTGTCAGCTGTAGCTTTACAATTTTACTAGTCAGTGGCCCGCCATGACGAAACAAATGTAAATGAAACACTGAATTTTATGACACTGATGATACAGATTCAGCGACCATAACGGTGCATCCCGACCTCTGTGGATACTAATCCACATTTAATTAATGAACTCAATGGAGGAGATGATATTCAACATACAGAAAACTCCAGCTACTTCATTTCGTCTCCACAAACGTTTTTTTCATTATCTGCTGTAATACAGTGAAATCTGTGCGTTTTCCCTCCCATGCATTCACTCACACAGAAGAAATCTGCCATGAAACTTAATCACAAAAGGTCATGTTGGCGAGTGAGGAACAGATTTAATTAGCATAGTATTAGATATGGAAAATGATTTCTGTCAAATCAAACTGTAGTACAATTATAATATGTTAATTACTTATTTCATTAAGGAAGTTGATTGCAGTTCACAGATGAAATCATGCGGGCAGAGACACCTGGAAAGAGGTGATGAAGCTTGAAACCCAGCTCTCTCTCTGACTCCTCTCGTTTCCTCCCTGCGTTCCACGTCATCGTTTCTCATCTATTCTCGCTTTGGCTTTTCACGTACGCATTAATTGCCTGAACGTGCCACACAAAAATGCTTCAAAGGGCGCATTTGTTCATCAAAGGGAAGATGTGAGATCATATGACCTACCCACAATGCTCCTCAAGGGAGCTGGGGAGCAGAATCAGTGTGTAAGGCAGCCAATGAAAATGTGGAGCAAAACACTGATTTTTCTTTGAGGAGGCTGGATAAACAAGATCAAATTTTACAATTAGTGTTATAATAACATGAGATTGTTTGTAATAGAAGAAAATATGATTTGTAGTTGCGTTCATTGTCTCGTGTTGAGAGTAAAGAAAATGAAGTTTAAAGCCATGTTTTTGTGATGTTTAATCTTGGGGTATGACCAGAAATTCATCATCTCGTGTGACAACATTTAAACAGTTAACAGGCAGCTGCCAACTGCTTTTGTTTGCAAAAGACTGATGAAAAATGAATCAGACTGAAAATTTGAGGATTGTTTAACACGTCATTGTTTGTTTACTCGGGCAACACTTATAAATTTCAGTTTTCATGAGTAGTTCTCTGTGGTTAGAGAGCATAAGATTAATTAAACTGGCCAGTAGAGATCTGTATGTATTACGTGAATACAAATTATGATATAACTCACCAAGAATGCAGTAAGTTCAGCACAGCAGAGACTGACCATAATAAAGCATTGTACACCACCATTAAATACAGAGCTCAACACCAACTATTATCCATCTAGCCGCCATGTGGCTATTTCCAAACAAAGCACCTCCAACCATTGAGGGGAATATACTGTCTAGTACCTGAGATGTGTGCAGCACATAATTATGAACTTAATAAACAAAATAAATAAGCAGCAGATGACCACAAGACCATGGATATATTTTAAGCTTAAGACTGGAAATGAGCAGCACCAAGCATATCGTAGGTCATAAGCTCATACGTTAGATGTGGCTATGATATGAAGAATAATAAAGCTAAGTGACATGTAACCCATGCCATGAGTTTAAATGTTTATGTAATGCTTCACTGAACATGAGGTGAAGAAAATATATAAAATCCCGGTTGGGAGTCTCAGGAAACCAATTTTACATGAAAAAACGCCGCAAAACAGTATTCATATTTAATCTAAATGTGAGTTTTCATTTTCACCACAACAAATCAAGAGCATGAAGGCAACCTAATGCAGGTGCCAAACAACAACCACAGGAAAACAACCTTAGTCACCAAGGAAAGAATTAATACCAAAGCAAATATTGCTTAGTCCTATTGCACACAGACAGCAGCAGCATGAGAGCAGAAAAAAAATCAGACAGCAGATGCCATGATATCACAATCAGATGTTCTGGAGAGCACATGGGCAGGTCAGCAGCTTCATATCCTCAAGTTAACTGCTTACAAACACCAACTGAACAGAGCCAAGAGAACAGCTCACAATATGCATGTTAGGACAGGCTGCCAGCACACACTTACCTTGATGAAGGGAAGCATGAAAGTAAATCCCACGGGATGATCTGATGTGATCATGAGGCTTGGGAAAACTCCACTTCTGGTTTGAAGAGGCCTTTAGCTGATTTCAGAAGCAGAAGCAAAGGGGAACGTTTTTTTTTCGCAAAGCTATTCTGAAGTGACATGATCACATCGTTTGCAGGCAAGATTCATTTAGAGCTGCTAAACAGAAGCAGCAAGATGCAACAAGAGTATGCAGCAGTTTCACGTCAGATTTGGCACACAGGTAGTCCCGCAGGTGAACGGCATGGCAAAGTAGTGGGCGGGGCTTGCCCGGTTTAAAATGACCGCCTTCAGCAGAAGGTGCGCTGGATTTACTGCATGTTGCAGCCAGCAGAGTTTGTCATATGTGACGAAGTACTCTTAAGGTGCAGGCTTTTTTAGCATAATGTAAAGATCTGTCTGTTAATGATGATAAAAATGTATAGAATGTGAGTCTATGTGTTTATGTTTCACAGTTTGCTTCCTGTTGCTCGGCTTGTGTGATATCTTGGGGTTGAATGTACTGTAGCCTACACTTGTCTTTCTCACCTGCACCTCTGGAGTCTTTCACTTTAGCTGCTGAGCTCGGTAATGTCAGGGTGGGGGTAAAAAAAAACAATGTAGGTGTGATGTTGGATGAGCAGAATAAAGATGGTTCACATAACCATAAAGTTGTTATGGCTTGAGTGAACAATCAGAGATTAGTTGACAAAACAGTCTCACCTCAAGGTCCATTCAGTAGCTGTTCTGGCGCTTTCATACCATATCACATCAGCAGATTGAGTTGCCTAGATGTCCTTACAATTTAAATTTTTTAAGTCGTCTTGTCCATGTTGGTTTCAAAGTTGAGCTTCAGAATTTTATTCTTGACCTTAGAAACAAGAGATGACAAAACAATACTCCTCATGGTCTATTTAGTATACTTGATGTGAGCGTTCGATCCTATAACTCCCTATTTATTACTGTATTTTGAGTGTCTGAATTCTGAGTGAAATCTGTGCGCTATAGTATGGAGTGCGCTCAAAACAGTAGTATCCATGCATGCACGTTTTTTCTGATCCCACAATGCAATGCTTCTACATAAGCAGATGGAGTTGCCTGTAGTGTAAATGTTCAAATTTCCATTTTCTCAGCACTTTAAGGATCTCTCGTCCATGTTGGCTTTAAAGTTGATCTTCAAATTTTACTCTGACCTTTAACAGCAGTTGATAAAACAATCTCACCACAAGGTCCATTTAGTGGGAGCTTTCAGTCAGAGTAGAGTTTCTCCCACTGCAGTGTGATGATGTGGTAATGCACACTGTAACAGTACGGGCTGGTGAGGACACTCAGGGATGCTCAGTTGCGTGGTTGTATTTGCCTTGCAGTACGTACGTATGCTGCTTATTATATCTGTGTGGAGAAGTCCATCAGTGCTTGAAGATTTGTAAACTACATTTACACGCCACCAACTTTTGAGCTATAAATCATTCTACAAAGCCTTCATATTTTTCCAAATTGGATACATTTCTGGCATAATTTATTATCTAATCAGTGGCCAGAAAAGTTTAAGCTGATCTGAAACCTCTTTGCCTGATTGAAAGACTGACACGTCTTGTGTGAGTTACTGAAAGGCTGAAATACTCTGCGATGATGGCAATGCTAAATGACACTTGCCTCTGACAAGTGGCAAAATGGAGAGGATTAGCATGAGCCAATGAGCTACAGAATGAATATATGTTCAAACCTCATTTGAAGTGGCATCTGTGACATTGCCATGCCAATTTAGAGAGAATTCAATCTGCTGGCATCAACTCTCTAAAACTGTGATTGGACTTGTGAAGAGACCAATTTGTTTCCAAATGTGTGTAGTCAGGGCTCTTTGTGATTATGATACGATATCTGTATTTATTCTTGCTTCAGCTGTATTCTCAACTCCATCAGCACTCAAATTAGCCTTTCTTATCAAGTATTTGAGGGAAGATTAGAACATAATACAGTCTATCATTTTGAGAGGCAGGGTTAATGTTGGCTAGGATGTTTGAGAGGTTATCAGCTGTCAGTACAAATTGCTAGAAAGTTGATGAAGTCTCTGTTTCATTTGTGACCAGCAGTTAATCCAGTGTACCAGATTTGTATTCTGGGATGAATTATTTTTGATGAGTCTGCTATCCCTTTTTTGTCATTTTAATGCATGTGTATGCAGTCCGTGAATGTAGATGTCACCATCAGGGTTTTGCCATTTTTTCCTCAATGCTGCTACATTCAAATTTTGTTCTAAAAATATACAGTAAATGCATCTTGTACAAATATGACGGTGCCTTTTTTTCTCACAATGCTGCCATATTTCATAGTAGTTTTGTTCCAAATATACCAAATATACTATAAGAGATTCAATCCGTTACGCCAGATTATTAATTTTACTGATAATCAGCAGGACAAAGACAGTCCAGACCGGTTTCAGAAAGATGGCTCTTCATGGTAAAACTATGCATTTTAATACCAACAAACTTTAGAAAACATCATATAAAATGCTAAGTTGTTGCAGAAATAAATCTGTTTTACAGTCAACAGCAGAGAAGGCAACTTCAGCACTTCATCCCTAATTGTGAAGACAGGGTTTATAGTGGAGATCATACAAAACAGCACTACACAGTAACTTCATTGATTATTATTGAAATTTCAAAGGTTTACTTAACCTTTGAAATTTCCACCAAAAAGAGTCTTCATATCTGCAGTGATTTTGACGATTTTAACTTCTTGTAAGGAGGGTATCTGAAAAGGCATGCTGCTTAAAGAAACAGTGACAACTAGTGGATTTTTTTAGCACAGCATACCTACACCGAATGGTAGAGATGGCTTAAACAGGTTGAATTAAGTTCAGTACAATTACATTTAGAGATACAGTGACTTAAAATGTGGTCTTCCAAATGGTTGAGAGGACGTTAAAGGGTTAAAGGAATAATTTGACATTTTGGGAAACACATTTATTTGTTATAAGTTAGATTAGAAGATTGATACCTCTCTCATGTCTGTACAGTAAATATGAAGCTACAGCTGGCTAATTTAGCATAGACTGGAAAATTTGCCTTCTTCACCTCTAAAGTTCACTAATAAACATGTTATATCTTGTTTGTTTAACCTTAACAAACACAAAGTATAAAAACAACAAGTTGTGGTTTTGTGGATGATTAAGTGTTGAAATTTTACTTGGATGGGAGCACTTGCCAGGCAACCAGCGGGAGACTCCAGGAAGTTAATGCACACCTGACAGAGCCAGGCTGCATGTTTCCTCTTCAGTATTCATGCTAAGCTAAGCTAACCGTCTGCTGGCTGTAGCTTCATATTTACTGTACAACATGAAAATGGTATCTTCTCATCAATCTCCCAGCAAGGAAGCAGAAGACTGTACTGTATGTCCCAAAATGTTTAACTATTTCATCAACAAATGTGCCTTTATGTTGGCTTGTAAAGGCATCTCACAAAAAAATGATAACGAAAAACTGAACTTCGATTCAAAGAGGGAAAAAGCAACCAGATAGTTGTTTTAAAAGTAAGCATAACAGACGAATATAATATAAAAGAACACTTATTAGTTCTGACATTAGGATAAATACAAACTGAATACATGCTGCTAACAGGCATGCCATGCAAATGAAATAAAATACACCCGGAAATAGGTTACACACTATGGAATATATATATATATATTATTTTAAAAACATCTAACTGATTAAAAATAAGGTAAAGTTTTATACTAAAATCTACATATAGCATTTTATTTGAAATGCTTCCACAGGCAAACCACAGCTTGCTGTTACTCGCATTTTTAACTTAAAAGAACCGATTTTGTTCAGTCAGATGTTGCAGGAAGCTGAATGAAATCCTGCATGTGTCTCATGGTTTGATTATTGTGATGAATGATTATCATCTTTCTTGCTCTCACAGGGCAGCAGAGTATAGGAGTGACCAGTTTCTTAGACTATTATCGCTCATCTGTTTGTGCAAACGGCACTTTAATGCTTCAGAGGAGATGTGTCTGAATAAAATTAGAATAACTGGATGTGAAAGAGGCGGTTCACTCTGGTGGAGCCCAGTGTTAACACAAATTGTGTGTGCATGTGTGTGTGTGTGTGTGTGTGTGCAGCAGGGGAGGGGAGACCTGTGTGTGTATGTGTGTGTCTTATGTGTGCAGGAGAGCTTGTGTATGTCCTGTCATATGATAAATGTTCTCTCTCTTATAATCTATGTGCTTCAAAATATGATGTATGTGAGGATGAACTTTGAATTATAACCTAAAGAGTGAATCATTAATCTTCTGACTTTGGTGGGGAGTGGACCAGTGGAATCCATTTTGCGTGTTTATGTTTTATGAATAATGCAATGTTGCAACTGGCCAGCTGGATCTGTGCAGCGGTGTTCAGACATCTAGTATGTCGGGAGACAAACAAACAGCTCTGTTTGCTGGAATGAAAAGGAGGTGAGTGTGTGTTAGCATTTACAAGGAAGGTCAACCGATCCTATTAAGGTTTCACTTTGTGCCATACCTGACCTCAGCGTTCTGGAGATGTGGTTACGACCATGTTGATGCTTCATTTCCTGGTCTATTTTATCACTTTAGTGTATTCTGAACTATAAAATCGGCTCACAAGGTCAGCAGAAGAGGGGAAAGGGGAGAATTACTGTAGGATCTCTGCTTCCCTGAAATCCCTGCGTTCAAGAGCCTCAAGTATAATAGTGTTTATAAGCTCTCAAATGTAAACTGAAATGTAAACAGTGGTGCAGTTTAGTGGCAAACTCTAGAGACATTCTGTATGATTGGTAATGTTGGTCTGTCAGTCGGTTGATCACCAATATCTAGACTGATATATCTCAACAACTGTTGTATGGATTGCCGTAAAGGTGTGTACAGTTAATGGTCCCCAGGTGATTTCCTTTAGCCATTTCTTTAGCTATATATATATATATATATATATATATATTCTCTCTATATATATATGTATATATATATATATATACTCTCTCACTCTCTCTCTCTCTCTCTCTATATATATATATATATAGATATATAGCTAAAGGAAATCACCTGGGGACCATTAAATGTTTGTGCACACTTTTACGGCAGTCCATACAACAGTTGTAGATATATGACAAGAAAAAGCAGCTAATCCATACAACTGAGATGAGACCGGCACAATTGTGGCATCGATTAATTGATGATTTGTTTTGATCACCCAATTAACTAATTCTTTCAGCTCTGCTTCTTACAATATGACACAAGAGGTTCAG